TGAGGAGCAGCTGAAGGCAACAAATGATGCTGAGGAGAAGCGGTACTGGCGGAGAAGGGAGGATCAGCTGAGGCAAAACGAGAGCCAGCTGAGGCAAAAGGAGAGCCAGCTGAGGGAAGAAAAGCTTATCTTACTCAAGGGTAGGCATTGGATTTGTTCTTGACTTGTTCTTCCATCGCTGACAAATTTTGTTTTTGCAGCGCCTGCCACTGCCACTGATTCTGGTAAGATTTATGTTGTGTGTGTGCTTCTCTGGTGTACTGACGAAGTGTTCATTGGTCTCCTTGCCTTTCTATGTGTTCGTTCAAAGCCTAATTGTTTGATTTTGATTAAGCAGATGTGCAAGCTATCTTGGACCAAGTATGGAATAAGATACATAGAGCAGATCGACAACTTCCTAAGCCAAGTCATTTTAAGGCCAGTTATCCAGACGTTTGCAAAGGGACGGTTCCTCAAGCTCCTGGCAGTCGCAAACCTTGCCTTCTCTGGCATTGCCTCGAGGAGCCTTTTCGGGCCTCCAAATACATTCTGGATCAAGTGGATATAGCCCGTCCTGGCCTGGTGGTCCTTTTCGATGTTTCTGGCTCTGGAAAGACTCGAACACTATATGAGATTGCAGTCGACCGTTTGGCTCTGTATTTTGTTGGTGTTCCTATGGGACGGATTGGATCGGAGGGCTCTGCAGACTTGGATGCGCTGGTTAGTCGGCTAATGGTTCTGTATCCAGGAAACCAGTCAATTCCGATGCGCGTGACGCGGTGCTGCTTCAAAGCTGTTCTTCTCAGCAGATTCTTCATCTTAGACAAGTTGAAGGAGGTAGCAGGAAGCATGCCACCTCAGGTTTGGGCCAAGTACTGGTTGTTTAAGCAGGTTGGATTTGCGTTACTACCCTTCAAGAATGACCCGTTCTACGTTCTAAGTGATAGACTACTCGAGTTAGTATCCAGTGACTGTGGGATCGAAGAGGTATTTGATCGTTTGATCGAGACACACAAGAGGGACTGGAGTGGGCCGATTATACTCGACGAATGCCAGGTGGTGCAGGACACCTTGGTGAATAGGTTTGATTCACCTACAGCTGGGTCAAGAACAAGATCTCTATTGGATGTGTTTGTGCCGGTGTTGGTCGATGCTGGGTTTCGCACAAGCACGTTCTACTATTCTGGTACAGGAGGAAGTATGGTTTCTGTTGCACGCAATATTTCTGCTACACTCAAACAGAGATTTTCAGTTGCAGTGTTCTGTCACTTTGGGGGATTTTATGAGGAGGCCGACCTGAAGGATTATGCTAGTCGGATCCTTGAAGATACATCACAGGTGGATTTTCACAGGGTCTTCCAGCTATACAAGGGGCGGTATAGGTTTTTCGTTTCAGCATTAGAATCGTTTATCTCTGAAAAGCTACCGCTCAGCAACGCAACTGCTTACTTCGTTGATACGCCAAAGAGGTTTCTACTACAGAGTACAGGCCAATGGCAGTTAACACTTTGGGACGGAGTTCGCCCTTTCTTGACAGAACAGTCTACACAAGTGTAAAAGACTTTTTTCGGAAGCATCCCCTGGCTCTCGAAAAACTGAGTCTTATACTCTTCCATCAGTTCTATGGATTGAATGCTACGTATGTTGCTGTCAAGAACCCCAGCTTGAGTTTAATTCAATACGGACTAGCGAGGTTGGATGGCCGTCGGACGCTTGAAATGCAAGATTTGGATTCTTGGAAGGACGAGTCAGACACAGCGAACGTTCTATTGCGTATTGAGGAGCCTCTGGTTCTCCATTCTTTGTGGCACTATTTAACTGTCGGCGAACCAGCAGGCCTATCGAGGATAGCGGATACTGCTTATTGTTATAACGCCCAGTCAAGTAGCAGCGGAGTTGGGCACGGATACGAAATGAT